CGTCAGCCGGACAGGACTTTCCGACTCGCATCAATGCACTTTTCCTGGCCACTGCTTCCCAGAAGCTGGCTCAGGAGTCAAGAACGTAAGAGAGATTTGCGGGTGCGCTTGCGGGTTTTATAGTTGCGAGAAAGGAGATAGAAGGGGGAGAGAACGACGGGAAGGCGAGGGTGTAGGAGGAGAAGGAGGAGAAGACTTTGAGAAGAGCGCTTCGAGAACGCCATGTTGATCCCTCGGAACTCAAGGTTCAACCAATCAGATTCGTCGCGCGAAAGGAAGGTCCTATCGATCCACGCACCTAATTGGCGAGCGGGAGTTATCGGGGGATCGACCGGGCATCATACGCCAGACTCAGAGGTTGAGAAGAGAAAAGGCGCGAGAGGTGGCGCAAGACGGGTCCAAGATTCAGATAATCAAGAAAGGGAAATGGGCGCGCGAAAGCAAGGCGGGAGAGAGAGAAAGGGAGAAGGGAAAAAACAGTTACAGGGAGAGAGAAAAAGGAGGGAGAAGGGAAGGGAGCGATGCGGGGGACAGAGAGGAGGAAGCTTCTCCATGCACGGCGCCGTCAACAAAAAAAGAAAAAAAGGCACTGAAACAGTTACAGCTTGCTTCTATCCTAATTCAAAATTGAAATCACCATATCCGTGCGCGAAAAAACGACGCGGGAAAAGAAAATCCTTCGCCTATTCGTATCCGGACGAAATTCCGAAAGTTTTCCCCGACGCGACCAAGAACATTCACACATTCGAAAAGGACACGTTGAAGTTCCGTTTATCCCGGAATTCCCAACTGCCAAACCCAATTCCCAGTGCGTTCGCTAAGGCGCACGTAAATTCCCATGTATTTCCCGATTTGCAAAAAGAAAAAACAGAATCGAGAAGTCAAAAAAAAACTCTCAGAGAAAGGAAAATGGGGCACCCGAAAGCAAGAAACCGAAACGGGGTTTTCCCGGGGTTGGTAGGATACAAGCAAAAGAAAGGGTACGAAAGATAGCACGGGGTCGGGAAGTGGTTCATCACATATGTGACGCGCGGGGGGTTCCGAAATTATGCGATCTCCTGATTGCATGTCATGGCGAAGGAAGAAGGGGAGAACAGAGTGATGCATAAGCGTATCAACAAAGCAAAGGAAGTACAAGGAATGATAACTGGGTCGTGGATGAGATGGCGACAACATCTGTGGCAAGATGGTTGTAGCCCTGTCAAATGCAACCCTCTGCCTCATGGAGATCGTCCAGGTGACGCCATCATGGTCAACCTGATTCTCCGTGTGCTCTGCACCCTTGCTCGTTGCCGTCCGTCGAGTCAGCGCGTAGGTGGACGTCATCGTCGATGGCGTGATCTTCGCGAAGCTTATTGGGGGGGGTCAAGGGAATGGGATCTACCGCCTAGCTGGAATAGGCCAGTAGAGGCGGTACATGCCGGGGATCTCGCGGGGATGACGGGGAGGGACTGGGGGTAGAAAGCGATTCATCCCTTCCATCGTGACCGCGAGCTCCTCATATCGGATGATTCGGTGGAAGCGGGGGAAATGATCGCCACTGCGGGGGAGAGAAGCGAGGTAGTCGTGATAGAAGGAGGAGAGTGTGCGGAAAAGCGCCGCTCAAAAAATCTCGAAGTGGCGGCAAGCGAGGATTGTCCCCGTGGCAACGCAGTATACTTCTACCATGTTGGAGTGCTCTCATGCAGCGCTGAACAGCAGGAGGTGCCAGAACGTAGGAGCAGCGGACTGAAGGGAGGCGTGGGGGTGGACGGTGGCGAGCAGATGGGTAGAATAGAAGTTGCGGAAGAGATGGGGGTGGAAAGGATGGGAAGGGAAGGTGACGGGGGTGCGGATCTGCTCGAGGGTGAGGAAACTAAGGGGTCGGTGGGACAGCGTCCGAGGTCGAAGGCCTATCACCCGCATCGGTACGTGGACGAACGGGGGAACGGGTGGGGCTGGAGGAAGAGGGGGATCGGCACCGTCTCCGTCGCGAGGTACTTGAGGTGGCGGCTGCGGGGTCGCCATCTTCTTCGTCGTCGTCGTCGTCGTCGATCACCACTTCTTTTGCCCTCGGGTAGAAGGCGTAAGGGATGATCGCGTACGGCTTCAGATAATCCTGCCGCGATGGTAGCGTATCCTCGTCCCTAGGTTCCTCCAAGCACGAAGTCGACTGAAGGTACGGATCCAAGGATCGCTCGAAAATGTATGGAGCAGGACTGTCGTCACTCTGAAAGTAGATGCCGGGCGATAGATCGTCTGCCAATTGCACGATCGGTGCGATGAGCTCCTATGCAATCCGGTGCCGTCGTCCCGGTGGTACCGATCCAAAGAGGAATCCAATAAGATCTCCTTCCGTGTTAGTCCTCCAACCCTGTATGATCAGCAGTTCCGGCTTCTCGATCCACGTGGGGTGCTCGATAGTGCCCGTCCACTTCACTTGTACTCGGGCCAGGCAGAAGGACAACTCCTCAAAAGTCTCGCGCCACAGCCGCCAATGTCCAGGATGGATAAGAGGGACCTAAAGAGGTTCGAACGAGAAGGAGAAAGAAGGGTGGAGATCGGATTGCCAGAAGGTGGGGAGGAGAGAGGGAAGACCAAAGGTAGAGAGAGGAGCGAGAAGATTGGCATGGTTCATTGAAGACGGGGGAAGGGGACGAGGGTTGGGATCGCAACTGGCCCTTCGCGTGGTGATCGGTGAATACCGTCAAGATCCGATGCAGAGATCGGGATGATGTTATACCCCTCCCGGGCGAGGACGTGCTGCCACATGTTGGACACTTGCTCCGTCCACTCGCGCAGCGAGGCCAAGATCGTGGTATGCCGCAGTGGATTGACCGAGCTGATGTCGCCGGTAAATCCCGCCACTGTGGTGACGTGGCTTGTTCTGGGACCCGCTCGCCGATGAACTGCGGTTACCTCCATGAATACTATCGCGTGAGGGCTTCCTTCTATCCGAAACGCAGCGACGACACAGATACCTTCATCGCAGAAGAATCGCATCAAACGGCGGAGATCCGTATTGAGCCGAGGGTGACAAACTTTCCAAATCTCTGAGATGTGACTACGTGGCTGCCGCAGTTGCGCATCAAGAACCCGCTCCGTGATAAAACTTATGGCGAGGTCGGAGAGGAGGACAAGGGACAAGGGGGAGAAAGAGGAGAGAGGAATAGATCGTCGTCGTTTTCTTCGCTTCCCGAGGAAGAAGAAGGAGGAAGATCAAAAGGAGGGAGAGGACGGAGGTAGGAGGTATGCCGGACGATGGGGACTGAGCTATGGCTGGAACTAGCCTCAGGCGCGATGCGCACCGTGTTGGCACCGTTGGGTCCAAGCTCGACAACGCGGAAACAGCCAGAGAACTTGGGGGCGAGCTTCCGATCGCGTGCACATTTACGTACCTGCACTAGGTCCCCCAATTTATATTGGTACTGGGGCCCAGCATTTCCGTTCGGAGCCTCATAGCTACGGACCTGTCTTCCGTGGGCCAGTTCGGTCATCCTTTGTCTTTTTCGGGCTAGCTTCGGAACGGCCCGTTCCATTAAATCGGCGTACCTCTTGGTCTTGGCCTTGAGGGCTGCACGTGTGTCTCTACCCCCTGCTTCGGCAATTTTCAAGTTACCCCGGTAGTCGACACAGGGAAGGCTATTAGTTCGAAGCCGAAAGGGGGTAAACCCCGTAGACTCGTGAGGGGTGGCCCGGTGGATGCCGACGATCTGATATATAATCTTGGGCCAAGGACGCGTGTCATGTGCCGCTAAGTTCTTGCGAAGGGCGGTTTTAATCATACGGTTGGCATTCTTGGCCAACCCGTTCGACTGGGATACATGGGGTGCCGTATGTCGGAGCGTGACGCCCCTTCGCGCAAGTAGTTCTTCTACCTCACCTTCAAATTCAAATCCATTGTCGGTTAGAATTTCTTCCGTATCTAGATAGGTATAGAGGAACCGTTCGATGTACGTGGCTATTTCTGCGGCCTTTCGGGTCTTACAGGGATAGACTTCGATGTACTTGGAAAAGTGGTCAATTTAGACTAATAAAATAGAATATTCACAGCGGTTTGGGCCAGGTGGCACGTCAATATTTGTCGTGTCCATACTGACTCGCTGAAAAGGACGCTCTACTTCCGTCGGTACGATCGTGTTTGGTCCCCGTATAGGGGCGCGATCAGCGGCACAGACCAGACAGTTAGCGACAATGTATTTGACATCATCTCGTATATTGGACCAGAACCATCGATTCTGGTCTACAGTTGCCTTCGTGACACGTATCGCGAAATGAGCGGCCTGTTCCTCGTGAGCGGATCGGACCCAATCGTATCTCTGGAAGGGATGGGGAACCGTCAGCCACGAACCCGATCCGTCAGTCTTAGGCTTTTCCAAATGACCGTTGATCCATCGATAGTCCCGAGATCTCTCGGTCGCCCTACGTCTATCGTGTTTGGTGAGGTGACCCAATGATAATCCCGCTAATTTTGCCAATAAAATTTTATTTGTCCAAACCTCCGCTCGTCGGTATTTTTCATCGTATTCAGGGACGTCCGTACGGGCGGCCTCGAATCGAACCTCCGTGGGGAGTTTGTTCGTTCTACACAGGGGGCACCTCCATTCCTTGCTTCTCATCCGATATCGCACGCAGGCCCCGTGCGCCCGGTTGACACACATGGCACATTCTACCCAATCGACAAATCCGGTCTCGAAGGGATGACAGTCGACCCCGTACACCCGTGCAATACTGGTGCAAAAATATCAGAATTTATCGGGGAGGGTGTCGAAGAAAGCTGAGGGAGTAAGAGGGGCAGAATTAGTAGGAGAAGAAGGGGTTGTGGAGGCAGGCGGGGCAGTCATGATGACAGAAGGGGAGAAACGGGACTAAATTGTGGAGAGAGTAGAGCACGCAAATTAGTCCTCGTTTTCAGTCAGTTTGATGTTCGTCATAGATTCCATCATCTTCTTGTCCGAAAGGAAGATCGACCGAAGACAGCGTTTGTGCTTTTCGAAGGCACGTGGCAATGGATTCGATGTCCGATGGGTATCTGCAATGCCCTTGCAACTTTTCAGCGGGCCATGAACATGGTCTTTCAGAATTTCATATGGAAGACTCGTTTGGCACAGAGCATCATCAACTACTGCGTGATTGTGTACATGGATGACATCCTAGTGTATTCGAGTTCCTACAAGGGACACGTGCAGCACATCGAATGGGCACTACATGCGTTACGAGATGCAGGTTTCAAGGTGGCGCTTGAGAAGTGTCAGTTCTTCCTCACCACCATTTCTTTCCTAGGGCACGTGGTGACAGACAAGGGACTCCAACCGGAGCCGCAGAAGGTGGCAGCTGTCAGGAACGCGCCAGTGCCTACCACCATCACGCAAGTTCGCGCCTTTCTGGGCCTAGCCTCGTATTACCGAAGATTTATCAAGGGCTTCGCGGCGATTGCGGGACCCCTCACAAATCTCCTGCGCAAGGATCAGCCGTTGATCTGGACGCCGGAGTGCGATCAAGCGTTTTCCAAACTCAAGGTTGATCTCATTTCGGCTCCGGTCCTTATAAGACCGGATCCCGAAAAGCCTTTTGTCCTCATCACCGACTGGCAGCCAGAGGTGATTTCGGCGATCCTTGCCCAGGTGGGACCAAGCGGACTCGAGAGTGTGGTGGAGTATGCGTCCAAATCAGTACCCGCTTGCAAGCGTAACTACGCCGCTCCGACAAAAGAATGCTATGCGGCTCTCTGGGGAATCAGTCACTTCCGTGCTTACTTGTACGGGCGAAGATTCACCCAGGTAACTGATCATGAGCCCCTGTTGGCTTTGAAGAAGTCGAAGGATTACTCGGGCATGATCGGGCGATGGGCAACGGTGCTGCAGAGCATGGACTTTGACATCCATCATCGGAAGCACGAGAAACACTGGAACGCAGACGGACTGACACGATTGCACCTACCTGAGGAGGTTCCGAGGAATGAGGAGGTGATTCCGTGGAACGAACCCGAGCAGAAGGTTGGACCTCGGTACGGCCCTGTGGAGATTTTGTCGAAGCAGTAAGCACTCCCAATCGCATCCAATAACTCATCAATCCGGGGGAGGGGATACACATCTTTAATCATGATATTATTCAGATTTCGATAAATTCCTCCGGCCTTTTTAGGTACGATCACTACAGGAAAAGACCATGGTCCTATAGCGGGTTCGATCCATCCATGAGCTTCGAACTCCTTAATCCGCTGAAAGGCGGCCGCTCGTTGAGCTGGCGAGTATCGGTAGGCAGCGCAGCTAATGGGCGGATGATCTCCCGTGAGAATAGCATGTTCAATTACATTAGTTAACCCAATATCATTGTCATGCATGCTCAGCACTTCTGCGTAACCATTCAATACACAGATTAACGACTTTCGAAGTTCCGCGGGAACGTGATTCGGGAGAGGGATCATCGATTCCCCGGACATGTTAAGGGGCATATCGATCCAATCAACTGGCCGTTCCCGTCGCTCATGGACACTAGAAAAAACGGAACTACTGGTGCGAACAGAAAAGACATCTGCTATCATCTGAGACTCGGCGGGGCTGATCATCTCCGTTTCTTTAGTTTCAGCGTCAGTTTCTAAATTAACCGAAGTCAGTTCCACAGTTAGCCCTGTTAGATCCGTCATTTCCTGTATTAGATTCGGCACGTCACTTACCGGTGCTTCCGCTTCTTGTTTAATCAAGGCGATGGTGGCTCCTGTCGTTAGTAATGATCGGGGTGGAAAAACAGAAACGTCCAAATACTGTTCTGTTTGCTGATAACGCGTTCGTAAGGAAAAAGTTCCCTCGTACAAGGTGCGAGGGGGTTCCAAATGATCAGCCAGGCCGAAAACTTGCAATATGAATTCCCCAAGGAGAACTGAAGGACTGACCTAGGTTATTAGAGGCGTGAATACACTGTCCTCAGAATCCACGTGGAAGCTTTGAGCGGTGTCGGGGCACACTCGAAATTCTTCAAGGGTCTCATGTTCGAAAAATTCAACCAGATGCTTCCATTCCTCTTCGCGGGGCATCTCTTCTTCGTATTCTCGCTCCCAGATTCCGTCCTCGAGGCGCGAGGAGGAGCCTTCCTCGTGATCAATGTATCGGATCATCCCTATTTGAGGCGAGTTAGGAACCCGTTTTATTGTTCGGGTGGAAACCCGCAAATGAACAGTCTGAGGCTTTCCCCCGATTTGTTTGAGCACCAATTGTTTCGAATGGAAATGGAGACGTGCGCCCACCGCCATTGCCCAAGGTAATCCCAACAACACAGAGTAGGAACGTACATCTATTACGAGTGCGTTAACAAGGACGTGTACTTGCCCGACCTTTACCGCCACGTTCTCGATAATGCCTACAATGTTCATTGCTTCCTCGTCAGCAGAGACATAGTTGTCTTTGCTAGATTGAGATACAATGAATCCAAGTCGACCCATCTTTTTAACAGTCTCTAATGATATGGCCACTGCAGAAGACCCTGTATCGATTAGGGCATTAAACGGCTTACCCCAAACTTCACAGTCATATTCCGCGCTTCTCCATAGTACTGGTCGAGCTCGTACGAAGTGATCTTTTTCTGCTAAAGAGATTGCTGCTATGAGCGCGGGTTCGGGTCCAGATTCTTTGGTGGCTGGTCCGGGGGGTACGATTTCCTCGCTTTCTTCTTTCTTCTTCAACATCCGTTGCATGCGTTGATAGGTGAAACGCTTTTGATTTTTCTGGCAGTGTTGTAAAAGTTTATCGTTCGCTGCTTCAGATATGGTGAGCAGATGCCCTACGGGGATAGGAACGCGGATGTCTAATTGCTTGAGTGTTTTCAGTACATCAATGTCTCTTGTCCGAAATTATGGTCCAAGATTGGATTCGCGGTCGCGTCAGAGGAAGAAGCTCCTGAAGTTGATGTCGTTGCTATCAAAGGGGAAGGCTGCTCTATGGCGTATGCCACGAGTTCTCTTCCTGGGTCCGTATCCATCAGAGCGGCCACTCATCCTTGATTAAGGGCAACGGGGGCCGCAGCAGGGGGAGACTGACTACACTTCGGTTGCGGACAGTCAAGAGCGAAATGCCCGGGCTGTTTGCAGTTAAAACACTCGAACTTCCCGCCGGATTAGCTAGATGAGGGAACTGAGGCGTGAATCCTGGAGCTGGCGGAGCAGGTAAGAGTGGAAATGAAGCAGGGGCAGGTCGAGCAGGGGCCAGGTTAGGCTTAATTAACCAGCTCATTATCTGTTCCATCCGTTCCATGTGAGCCGCCTGTACTTGGATCAAGTTGCTCATCCATTCGGACTGCTTGGTAGTGGCCGTATGGATCATCTGGGCAATATGGAAATTGGTTACGGCTGGCGAACTTCACATTTTCACAGGTCCACCGCTGTGGTTGCCCGCTCGGGTTGCACCGCGTGTTGGGTCTTGCAGAAGGCGTAAACCGGAGGTCCACCGGGATCCGAGCTTGGCGAAATTACATGGGAGACACACAGATGTCTATCAAACTCGCCTTCCCGTGCTTTCTTGAAGTTCGGATCCTGACGGACTTCACATTTTCATAGGTCCCCCGCTGTCGTGTGGTGGCTGCAAAAAGTTCGTCATTGGATGACCGACAAGGTTCGATGACCGACGAGGTTTGCCGTCCAGTGGTGTTCGATGTCCGCCAACATTTCGATGCCCCCCGAGCCAGTGTTGTTGTTGTGCACTGGGGTTGCAACTCGAGTTGGGTTTTACGAAAGGCGAGAACCTGAAGTTCGCCGGGATCCATACGTGGCGAAATGTCGTGGGAAAGAAACAGTTGTCTGTCAAACTCGCCTTTCCATTCTTTCTTGAAGTTCGGATTCCAGGAGACTTCACTTTTGCACAGGTCCACTGATGTGGTTGTGCACTCGGATGGCAACTCGAGTTGGGTTTTACGAAAGGCAAGAACCTGAAGTTCGCCGGGATCCGTACTTGGCGAAATGCGGTGGGAGAGAAACAGCTGTCTATCAAACTCACCTTCCCCTCTTTCTTGAAGTTCGGATTCCAGCGGACTTCACATTTTCACAGGTCCACCGCTGTGGTTGCCCGTTGGGGTTGCACCGCGTGTTGGGTCTTGCGGAAGGCGTGAACCGGAGGTCCACCGGGATCCGAGCTTGGCGAAATTACGTGGGAGACACACAGATGTCTATCAAACTCGCCTTCCCATGCTTTCTTGCAGTTCGGATCCTGGCGGACTTCACATTTTCACAGGTCCCCCGCTGTCGTCTGGTGGCTGCAAAAAGTTAGTCGTTGGATGACCGACAAGGTTCGATGACCGACGAGGTTTGCCGTCCAGTGGCGTTCGATGTCCGCCAACATTTCGATGCCCCTCGAGATTTGACGGGGCGCCAGGTTCGATGCCAAACAAGGTTCGATGGCCGACAAGGTTCGATGGCCAGCAACGTTCGATGTGCAACAACGTCGTCACGAACTGTCTTTTGTCTATTCTCAAACAGGGATCGACTTTTTTCACGGGTTTCTACCGTGTGGTGGACCAACTGCCCTGCGTGCTGCGTACGACCAATGGACGATGAGGCAGGTCGAATGCAGTGCAATCGGGGCGAGAAAAGTGAACCGCTCGGCTGGCATGTCGGTGCCCTGTTCGGCGACCGGCCAATCAATCAGCTAATTGGCCAACCACAAACCGAAAAGTCGATCAATCAACTAATCAGTTACTTGTGCCAACGCTCTCCTGTCAACCAGTTTGCTGGATCGGTGGTATGCCTGCCGGTTGGGCGATCGCGCAGAGGGTGATGCCATGGTTGCAACGCAAACACACGTTCGGCTGTGTGGTTGGTGGACTGCTGGATCAACCAGTCGTCCGACCGCAGTCCGAACAGTCGTTCAGTGATGTTGGTAGTGGTGGATCTATTGACCAGTCTACTGTTTGCCCGGGGTACATCAACGAGTGTGATGGATCAGTCACTCGCCGCCAGGTTGGTCGTTCGCGCACGGTGCCACGTGTGTTTTGTTATTACATTTGATACTGGCGAAAAACACACACGCGGTGACAATGTTGAGACACCACACGCGATCAATCGACCGATCGCGAGCTCTCTGTTCGTGTTCGGCGATTGGTCGATTGGGTGCGTTCGTTGTCCCGACAAAGTCACCTCCTGCTTTGATTGATCATCCCTTCGGCAGATCAGCGGCGGTATCATGATCAATCGTGATGGTCCTGTTCATCACTCACGTGCGGTATGGCCGATGTCACCACTCACGTGTGGATGATTGATCTGATGAGTGGAGAAAGATCCGATCTGCCGCGCGGTTATTATGTTTCGTGACCGGTCGCCTCGCGCTCGATCGAAGCTTTCATCATGCATCAGTTACTCAGCTCATGAGAACTGCCCAATTAACGGCCGATCAAAACATGCGGTGACAATGTTCAGAGTGATCTGATTGTGCTCCATCGATCTGGACTGCATATAATCAAGGGATATTATCTACCTTGTGCTTTGGACTGTCTATAATCAATAATGAATACTGTCAAATCAAGGAATGTTGTCTATCTACCCATCTATTGTATCATTTTCGCCGCGTGTTTCGTTTAATCATCCTTTGGGAAGATCGACGGCTAGTGCGTTGGGACAGCAAACACGAACAATGGAATGTGGTCAGTGGTCAGGATGTGGTGAACTGACGAATGCTTATAGCTCTGATCGAACGGGCTGTGGTCGGTCACGAAACATAATCACCCCGCGCTCGATCGGATGTTTCTCCATTTATTAGTTTCATACACAACAAGATCACATAAGATCCACACACAAACGTGTGGATCTCGTGTGCTCTTGTAGTGTATGAAAATGATGAACGGAGAAACATCCGATCCAGCTCGGGGTGTTTATGTTTCGTGACTGGCCACAGCGCGTTCGATCCGAGCTATCGACATTCATCAGTTCATCACATCCTGACCACTGACCACACTCCATTGTTCCTGTTTGATGTTTGAATGTCGTAGCCCTCGACCTGCCCAAAGTGTGATTGGTTGAACCACACGGCGACAGAGATACAATGGATGGATAGATGGACAACAGATTACAGTTCTTCATTAGAGCGTACGGAATCGCCGGATATTACGCACACATGTCGCTCAACGCCAGAATACAGCAGGAGTACCCTCGGGATGCGAA